GATGACATCGCCAGATGTCGCTGCTTTAGCAGAGTTAAAGAAGATACTCAGAGATGATTCACACCCTGGTCAGTGTCTCTTTGCCCTGCTACCATCAGGCAGAAGACATCAAGGGTATAGCCAGCCGAACAAACAGGTTTAAAGATAGTTTCTATCCTTGGGCTGTGAGACTTTTAAACACAACCACAATCACTCCATGCACACGCTAGGTTTTTTTTTTCTTTTTCTGTCTTTTTTCGTTTCTGTTATAATTTTGCACCAGTGAGGTTAAAAACCAATTTCGTTGGATTTAAGTACAATGACAATAAAGATTATACTTATTATTGAGGAGGAAGCTGAAGTAGTCATTGTCAGTTAGGACGTTGTAGCTGACAATTTTGTGTAATATGACCTACTAGGCGGTGTAGTTCAAGGTTGCCCAAGGCGAAAATTTCAAGCCTGGTGGCATAAGAGACTCTATTGTGAGCAGAGGAGTGGAGGACTCTTCTCGTGAAATACCTCTGGACCCGCTCAATTGTATTAATATCATCTTATATCATCATATCTCCGCATCCATCTGTGTAAATGTCCAAGCTTTCCTCTCTCCCTACTCTTCTTCCCTCCCCCTTTTTCTCCCCCAGCCCAAATCTGCCTCTTGGCTTTTGAAGGGTTACAGGGATGGAGGGAAGGGGATTCCTAGAGTGGAAGGAAGGAAGGAAAGAAAGAAAGAGGGAGGGAGGGAAAGTTTGGGGAGGGGAGGGGGGCCCCTCCACGACCAAGCCACCTCCCCATCCGGACTGGCGAGCCTATCCTCCGCAGCAGCGCCGGACGGGGAGGTGGTGGAGGGAGAGAGGGATCCGAGCGAAGAAGGACGAATCGGATGCGAAAAGGGTGGGGCGAGGTGGGAGCCGGCCTGGGGGCTGAGTTTGGGTCTGGGGTCCACCCGCCCTCCTGCTCAGCGTCTCCCCGGGCCTTTGTTTCCCCATCCGAAGGGCGGCGGGGGGAGCGGTGAGTCCGGATCTTCAGCGGGGGGAGCGGTGAGTCCGGATCTTCAGCCTTGCCTTTGGGGGGGGAGGGGGAGAGGTGGGGGGATGGATCGAGCTCCGAAGCAGGGCGGAGAGGAAGCCAGGCGCGGTCCAGCTGCGCTTGGAGAGACAATGCAAGGAGGCCTTTTGAGTGGGGGGTGTCGGAGGGGGAGAAGGGAAAACAGCAGGTGAGAAGGATCAAGCCTCCCCCTCCCCCCCGGCCAGGATCCCCAAATCTCTGCCCCCTTTGCATGCGATTTCTCCCTCCGGGGTTATATTGTCGCGCCTACAGCTGTTTCCCGAGCCTTCCCCGCCTCCGATCCCGTCTCTTTTGGGACGGGAAAGGGAGAACCGGCGGAGCCACGAAGGGCGCCGTAGCGTTTCACCCCGGTGCCTCCGGATCGGGGTCTCCAGAGAGCGCTGGGTGGAGGGAGCCGTTTTTAAACAGGGTTGAACTGGGAAAAAGTTAACACGGCTTCAGGTTTGGTCTGTGCTTATTCATTGGGAGGAGGATGTTTTACATAAGACCCCTGTTGGAAGAAATTTCCTCCTTCTGGGTTCAGTTCCAGGTGGGGGAAAAGAGACTGGAAATATGGAGAGTGCTTGGAAAGATGATTTTAATGATGGAGAGGACCACAGGGCTTGAGGTCCTGGGGGGAAAAGGTGATCACATGCTTCCAGATGTTGGGTGAAGAAGAGAAGGTCTGAAAGTTCCTGGCTTTATACTCTCTGTTTGGACCCCACCTGTCTGTTTCCTATTCCTGTGTAAGAAATGTATTCTGATTGGTTGTCAGACTCCCATGAAGCCATGCAGGGGCAACTTTGTAGGCTGTGTTTTGAGTCCAAGTTTGGTTGAACATTGCTTCTTCCCAGGTGTCCTGTGGTGAGTTTCTGTAGAAGGCTAATCCTACCATTGTTATGTAGACTAGCTCAGGCTTTATTTTAATGGCCCATTGACCAAGGAGCGGGCTGTTAAGAGTGAGTCTGTTTCCTGCCTAAAAACATGTTTCTCCATTTCTTATCCAGGGAAATATAATATTCTGCCTTTTCAGTATTTCCTAGGATATTTCATTCTTCTAGGAGAGTGGGGGTGCTAAATTCTTACACCCCCTCCTCTATTTTTCTCCATAGCAGTAACAATCCTGGGAGGCAGAAGAACTGGCCTTATTAAAGAGTTAAAACTTTTTCAGCCTTAGCCACTTTTTAGATGGGTGGACTTCAACTCCCAGAAATCCCCAGCCTTTGTTCTTACAGATTAACAACCCAAAACCTACTTATTTATCCAACAAAACTATTTAACCTGAATAATGAGGTTTTGTCTTAGAAAAAAAACAGCTCATACAGATTGACAGAGTTGGAAGGGACCTTATAGGTCATCTAGGAGACAAGGGTCGTAAGTGTGAAAAATGGTCATAAATCACTTTTTTTCAGAGCCGTTATAACTTTGAACAGTAACTGAATGATCTGTTGCAAGTCGAGGACTATAACAAAATAACATTTCCTGAAGTGAAAAACAATAAGCCCTCCCCTTTAATAAGCCCAAGACCATATTTCGCAGGTCAAAAAAATATAAGACCCTGTCGTATTTTCAGGGAAACACAGTAGGTAGATAGAAGGAGAGAGAGGGAGAGAAAGAGAGAGAAATACAGTAGGTAGGTAGGGGGATAATGTAGGTAGGTAGGTAGATAGGTAGAGGGATAGAGAGAGAGAAATATATATAGAGAGAGAACTACAGTAGATAGGTAGGGAGAGAGAGAGAGTAGGTAGGTAGGTATATAGGTAGAGGGGGAGAAAGAGAGAGAAATACAGTAGGTAGGTAGGGAGAGAATGTAGGTAGGTAGGTACGTAGGTAGGTAGAGGGATAGAGAGAGAGAAATAGAGAGAGAGAAATACAGTAGATAGGTAGGGAGAGAGAGAGAGTAGGTAGTTGGTAGGTAGGAGAGAGAGAGAGAGAGAAATACAGTAGATAGGTAGGGAGAGAGAGAGAGTAGGTAGGTAGGTAGATGTTTCCAGGTATATTTATCCATGTGCTGGAGAAGGAAATTGCTGACAACCTGTAGCACCTAAAACTTTGTTTTTGCTGGCACCGCAGACCAATGTAATTCTCATCAACCACACTAACTAAACAGCTTTCCGAAAGGGGGGAAAACGGCCCGTTTTTCCTGAAAACAGGCCATTTTTTTATCAAGCAAATTGCATGCATAGCCTTATGGAGGCTTGTACAGTGCTCCCGGGGAC